TATTTCTTTCTGCTTTGGTGGCGAAATGGGTACGACTGTTGTGGTCTATTTGACTGCACAGTTGGTCCGGTGGCTGAGCAACCGGCTGCCGTGCAACGTGTCGCGGGTTCGATTCCCGCACGGAACAACACTTTGTGTGATCCACAAATTGTTGTTTCGGGTCTGTGTGTGATGTGTATGTGAACTTGTATGTTTGTAAGGGTACCCACGACACAGGAAAAAATCCTAAAGTAGGGCAACGTAAAAAAAAAATGTTTGATTTCCAAGTCGGTGATAAACTTTGAAGTTGCCTTTTCCTAGGCTATTTTATGATGCGAAAAGGATATAATAATATAGTTGCCATTTCAAGGATAGAATAATGTAGTTGCCATTTCAAGGATAGAATAATATAGTTGCCATTTCAAGGATAGAATAATGTAGTTGCCATTTCAAGGATAGAATAATATAGTTGCCATTTCAAGGATAGAATAATGTAGTTGCCATTTCAAGGATAGAATAATATAGTTGCCATTTCAAGGATAGAATAATGTAGTTGCCATTTCAAGGATAGAATAATATAGTTGCCATTTCAAGGATAGAATAATGTAGTTGCCATTTCAAGGATAGAATAATATAGTTGCCATTTCAAGGATAGAATAATGTAGTTGCCATTTCAAGGGTAGAATAATATAGTTGCCATTTCAAGGATAGAATAATGTAGTTGCCATTTCAAGGGTAGAATAATATAGTTGCCATTTCAAGGATAGAATAATGTAGTTGCCATTTCAAGGGTAGAATAATATAGTTACCATTTCAGTTTCGGTTTTACATTTTTATTTTCTTAGTTATTGTAAATTTTTTTCTTCTGCTAGATACTGTGTCTCATATTTTAATTACAGTGGTAGTCTAAGGTGTACTGGAACAAATTCTAACAGGAATAAGTAGCACCTTTGTACTCGAATAGGGATTATGACAGTGTATAAACTTTAAAAATCTAATTAGTCCGTCAGTTAGGTAATGAAAAAAATATTAGACACGTATTTTTTTATTTTGTCGTATAAGAAAACAATACTTAAATAAAACGAATTAAAGTTTCGGAGTGGAAGGTAGCTACGTCATTTTAGAGTATAAATCGTACTCAGAAGTGACGTCATGCGATATTTCAAATCAATATATCTTCGAAACTATTCGTTTCCGTTAGAAAATAAAAATAAATACGTGTCTAATGTTTTTAAATAATCTACCAGACAGACGTTAAACTAAAAATTCGTCATCTACCGTATTTTATATATGTGTTGTCCTCAGGGCTATTTATTTGTGTGTACATGAAATATTAAATAAATAAATCAATAGAAAGTTAGTCGCTTCGAAATTTCGCAAAACGAATTCAATTTATTGACTAGTTACTTAAAAACATCTCTGTTTTGTTTAAAAGCTAGAAAAACAGTTGATTCAGGTGTTTATAAATACTTGAGTAGGAACACAGACTCAGCTGACTCATTCACGACACGACGCTTTGTCTATGCGTCGCAAAATTACTAAAAATTGAGTAATCCTTGCCAGCGTGTAGCATGGACAAATTTATCAATATATTGAACTCCTTTGCAAAAATATGAAAGAAAACGCATTCATTTGGCCATGGGTACATGAAAACAAGGATAATTAAAACACATAACATAAAATCACGCCTTTTATCCCCGAAGGGGTAGGCAGAGGTGCACATTACGGCACTTAATACTTAATGGCACTGTACAAT